TACTTTATTTTGGTTATAACGTGGACTATGTAATGGTATAATTGTTGAATGAAACCTTTGATTTATAGCAAATTTAATGTTCTTTCCAATGATTTTAACTATAACTCTCTAAAGTAATTGGTTAAGTTCTTATTACACAAATTGTGGAGCAAAGTCTAATAAAATAAACGGTCGAAAATCGGACATGGGTTTATAGGAACTTTTTTGTTCCTTTTAGTGAGAAGAACCCACTGGCGAAGTTAACACGGTCAGTAGAAACTCACCCTGTATACCGTTTATGTTCAGTATTAAAATGTCGCCTTTTAATTAAAAGTATATAGGTATGTATGTATTTAGAACAAAGCAGCTTTTTACATTATTCAATTTAATGTTGGCATTGAATATTAAATATTCAAAAATGTTGGTATATTTTTATACTAAAATACTATGCGAAGGGGGGGGAACAGGTCCCCGACGTAGAGAGTAGTAAAGAAAGCGGAAAGGTGAGCAGTGAAAAGAAAGGAGTACGGAAACCCTTTATGACTGTTAAATTAACGTATCTGTAATACTTAAATGCAATGGAAAGATAGGGAAACAGGTCTACGATGTAGGAAGTAGTGAAGGAAATAGTGAAGGAAGTAGTCAAGGCGAGCGCTGCGGAGTGTGGGGGGCCTTTATGACAGTTAGAATAATGTATCTGCAATTCTAAAAATGCTATGGGAAGGGAGAGAAACAGGTCCACGATGTAGGAAGTGGTGAAGGAAGTAGTCAAAGTGAGCAGTCCGGAGTGTGGGAAGCCTTTGTGACAATTAGAATAATGTATCTGCAATTCTAAAAATGCTATAGGAAGGGAGGGAAACAGGTTCACGACACTTAGGAAGTGGTGAAGGAAGTAGTCAAGGCGAGCATTCCGGAGTGTGGGAACCCTTTGTGGCAGTTAGATTAATGTATCTGCCATAATAAAATGCTATAGGAAGAGAGGGAAACAGGTCCATGACTTAGGAAGCGGTGATGGAAGTAGTCAAGGCGAGCAGTCCGGAGTGTAGAAACCCTTTGTGACAGTTAGATTAATATACCTGCAATACTAAAATGCTATAGGAAGGGAGGGAAACAGGTCCACGACGTAGGAAGTGGTAATGGAAGTAGTCGAGGTGAGCATTCTGGAGAGTAGAAACCCTTTGTGACAGTTAGATTAGTGTGACTGCAATTCGAATATGCTATGGGAAGGGAGGGAAACAGGTCCAAGACGAAGTAAGCGGTGATGGAAGTAGTCAAGGCGAGCAGTCCGGAGAGTAGAAACTCTTTGTGACAGTTAGATTAATATACCTGCAATACTAAAATGCTATAGGAAGGGAGGGAAACAGGTCCACGACGTAGGAAGTGGTGAAGGAAGTGGTCAATGTGAGCAGTCCGGAGTGTCGGAAGCCTTTGTGACAATTAGAATAATGTATCTGCAATCCTAAAAATGCTATGGGAAGGGAGGGAAACAGGTTCATGACACTTAGGAAGTAGTGAAGGAAGTAGTCAAGGCGAGCATTCCGGAGTGTGGGAACCCTTTGTGGCAGTTAGATTAATGTATCTGCCATAATGAAATGCTATAGGAAGGGAGGGAAACAGGTCCACGACGTAGGAAGTGGTGATGGAAGTAGTCAAGGCGAGCAGTCCGGAGTGTGGGAACTCTTTGTGATAGTTAGATTAATGTATCTGCAATATTAAAATAATATAGGAAAGGAGGGAAACAGGTCCACGACGTAGGAAGTGGTAATGGAAGTAGTCAAAGCGAGCATTCTGAAATGTAGAAACCCTTTTTGACAGTTAGATTAGTGTAACTGCAATTCTAAAATGCTATAGGAAGGGAGGAAAACTGGTCCACGACGTAGGAAGTGGTAATGGAAGTAGTCGAGGTGAGCATTCTGGAGAGTAGAAACCCTTTTGTGACAGTTAGATTAGTGTGACTGCAATTCGAATATGCTGTGGGAAGGGAGGGAAACAGGTCCACGACGAAGTAAGCGGTGATGGAAGTAGTCAAGGCGAGCAGTCCGGAGAGTAGAAACTCTTTGTGACAGTTAGATTAATATACCTGCAATACTAAAATGCTATAGGAAGGGAGGGAAACAGGTCCACGACGTAGGAAGTGGTGAAGGATGTAGTCAAGGTGAACAGTCCGGAGTGTGGGAACCCTTTGTGAAAGTTAAATTAATCTATTTGAAATTCTAAAATGCTATAGGAAGGGAGGGAAACAGGTCTACGACGTAGGAAGTGGTGAAGAAATTAGTCGAGGCGAGCATTCCGGAGTGTAGAAACCCTTTGTGATAATTAGAATAATGTACAGTATCTGCAATTCTAAAAATGCTATGGGAAGGGAGGGAAACAGGTCCACGACGTAGGAAGTGGTGAAGGGAGTAGTCGAGGCGATGAGTCTGGAGTGTGGGAACCCTTTGTGACAGTTAGATTAATGTATCTGCAATAATAAAATGCTATGAGAAGAGAGGGAAACAGGTCCACGACGTAGGAAGTGGTAAAGGAACAGGAAGTAGTCAAGGTGAACAGTCCAGAGTGTGGGAACTCTTTTTGACAGTTAGATTAACGTATCTGCAATAATAAAATGCTATGAGAAGAGAGGGAAACAGGAATTACATTACGTATATTACCAATGACTTTGGTTAATTAATGGACGAGAAGTTAGGATTGTTGTTGACTGAGATGTGGTTTTTTTTAGAGGTTGGTCCAGCCTCTTTTAACCTCGCCCGTGCGTGGATCGTTTACAGCAAAGCAATTGGTGAGCCGGTACAGTACAAAGGTGAACTGTACTGATAAAATTTAGTGGCAGTGACCAGGGGCCCTATTTTTGAAATGGTTGACAGTTGAGTCAATCGTCAGCGCTCAACTCAACCAACAACATGATTTGGTATTTTTGAAACCCAACAGTTGGGAAGCGAGTTGGGAATCACTAGTTGAGAGACTCGTGGTGGAAATGTAGAGCATACGACCGTCAAAAATTCAGATGACGTCATTTTGAACCAATCACAATGCAGAGTTCTTGCGGACTTCGATTTAACCTCTTCTTACTCTAAAATTTGGCAGCTAATCTCAATCTGCCATATCTGACACTGAGGTAAACTGTCAACTCCGTTCTTGAGAAATTGAGATTGAGGTTATGTCTTGCTTAATCTTAGTGATTGCAAAGTACCTTAACTTAAGTATTAACTAAAGTAAACTAAATAAAGTAATAAACTTAAGTATAAAAAATAAAATTTACTATGGATGTTTGTTTTAGGGTGTAGCTAATTATAAGTTTAGGCATAGGCTGCACTTTACTTTAGGTCCTACACTCATCCTAAATACATTATTATTTGCTTTCTTCGTCTCTATTTCGGAACACATCACCTTATTTTAGTTTCCTTCATCGGTTTGTTTTATGTTATTTTTAATTGTTTTTTATTTAGGTTAAAGCGGCTATTTGCCATTGCACTGAAAGCATATCGTAACTTAAATTAATTTGATCCCTTTATTAGGTGAATGGTATTGAAACAAACTATGATATTGTTTCTCTCTACCACAATCTTAAAACCTTAAATCATAGGTCTAATAACAATAATTATCTTATAATAAGTTCAGTTAGTATGCCTAGTCTATTTCAAACATTCCAACAAGAATAAAACCCTTGATTAAATAGTCTAGTATTGACACAGTAAATAAAATTAAAATGCGATTATTCTACAGAAAACAATCGCATAATTGGGTGCTAATACATTGACAACAAATACATAACCTCTAAATCGCAATTAGTAAATTAAAGCAATAACAAAACAATATGGCGTCGTCTCAAAAAGAGTAATTTTTTGCCGAAAGAGAGGAAGAATAAAGTGCAGTCAACCTCCACTCAACAGCTCGATAGGTGTTGAGTAGTTTTGGTTGTATAAGTCCACCGTCAACCGTTTCAAAAATACGAAACTATTGGAAATAGAATGACTCGACACTCAACTCAACAGTCAACCATTTCAAAAATAGGGCCCCAGGATCTGAACTCACGACATCGCTGCCTTGGGCCCGAAGTTCGCGTGACGCTACCGACTTGAGTCACCGACTCGCCATTATTTGCCCCGACTCATGGGTTGATTTGCCCATACAAATAACATTATTGTGTACACCAGTGACACCGGTAAGTGTGCTAGGTGTGGGTAAACTCTTTCATTATTGCGCTCATGTTCACTCATCCTGTTACGCGCAGAATAAACGTACTACTAGTTAGTATGTTTGAAATAGACTAGGCATACTAATTGAACTTATTATAAGATAATTATTGTTATTAGACCTATGATTTTACGTATTAAAGATTGTGGTAGAGAGAAACAATATCATAGTTTGTTTCAATACCATTCACCTAATAAAGGGATCAAATTAATTTAAGTTACGATGCTTTCAGTGCAATGGCAAATAGCCGCTTTAACCTAAATAAAAACACAATTAAAAATAACATCAAACAAACCGATGAAGGAAACTAAAATAAGGTGATGTGTTTCGAGATAGAGGCGAAGAAAGCAAATAATAATGTATTTAGGATATGCCTAAACTTATAATTAGCTTCACCCTAAAACAAACATCCATAGTAAATTTAATTTTTAATACTTAAGTTTATTTTATAAGTTAAGGTACTTTTGCAATTACTGAGATTGAAGATTAAGCAAGACATAACCTCAATCTCTCAAGAACGGAGTTGACAGTTTACCTCAGTGTCTCGAAATATGGTAGATTGAGATTAGCTGCTAGATTTTAGAGTAAGAAGAGGTTAAATCGAATATCGCAAGAACTCTGCATTGTGATTGGTTCAAAATGACGTCATCTGAATTTCGGGCGGTCGTATGCTCTACATTTCCACCACGAGTCACTCAACTAGTGATTCCCAACTCGCTTCCCAACTGTTGGGTTTCAAAAATACCAAATCCTATTGTTGGTTGAGTTGAGTGCTGACGATTGACTCAACTGTCAACCATTTCAAAAATAGGGCCCCAGATCTGATCTGTCTCGCTGTCTGTGTTTTGGTGTTCCGCGGTTTTCTTTCTGTCGTTGTCGATGTGATCAGATCTGTCTGTGTTCCGCAGTTTTGATAAGTTAAGAAACATCTTCATATTTACATCGAAGGAAATGTCCGTAGCGAATAACACAACTGGTCGTACAAACAGCAGAAAATTTAAGTGGGCTTTGGATCTAAATTCAAGGTAACTTAGGTAGGCTAAGTTTCCTAAAGTATTTAACTTAGGCTATTCTAGGCATAGGCCCTAAGCTGATTAGGCATACTTCGAATGTTTAAAGCCTAATCCATTTCCTGCATCCATTTTACAAAATGAGTGAATTCATAGACTGCCAGAATTTTGAAATGTAAATCAAGATCTTAGGTTTCATTTTATTTGGCTACTTAGGCCTATATTTATTCTGATTCCATTGTTAATCTAATAAAGGTTCTCTCTCTCTCTATTAGGCCTATGACTAGACGAGAATAAGAAAGCTAGTGGTTGGTAATATCATAGATGAATAAATTCCTCTCTAAAAGTCAGTGGTATGCCTAGGCTAATATGAATTAAAATTCTTCGTATAGCCTAGGCCTAAATACCCACTTGACCACAGTCACTGTTTCTAGCTACAAATGACTATTCCACTTTGTATGATGCAGTCCTTCTTTCATTAACCCTAAATTTTGTACTATAAACTATGACTTGGTACCCTAAATTATAACACTCCATCCATTATTGTCATGACTAACAGGACTAGGAGTCAAAAATCAAAGTAAGAATAAGTTACCTGGACAAGTTAAACCATTACCAATTATTCAACCTGACTACGCGACTATCAGGCTTTAACTGATCAATAGGGGTAATATGCCTTCGGGGTAGGGAAAGAGCAACATTATGTTCAATCGATTACTAAAAAGAGGGGCGTTACCGGTAACTCTTGGAACTGCCCAGAGGAAAACTCAATTTTGACACCTGTGAAGGGTCAAAGAAGTAACTAATTACTTTGACATTGACAGATGTAAACAAGAAAAGGCGGCAGACCTGGCTTCACCCCCAGGGTACAACTTTTCTGTGGGCCAGGTTTATACCGAAACTTCCAAAGAGAATGATGCAAACCATTTAATCATCAAGAAATCTTGGGACTTAGCTCTTGGACCTTTAAAGCAAGTAAGTATGTTGGCGAGCAAGTGCCTAAGTAAGTCTTGTACGTAGCTCACAACATATTCATACTCATTTTTTAAAAAATATCCATACACTTGGGAACGAATGGTAAGTAGCCTAAATAAAAAGGTAAGAACTTCCTTTTGGGCCTATTCCCTGCTCTCTAGCCTTTGTTTTATCGTAGTAAGGCACTTTTGAAGGTCTAGTGTTCTTAACCAAATTTGTTTAACGGTTAAAAATATTTTTTTATTTTTGATTTAACAGACCCTGATTACTTTTATTTTATAGTTGGATTGTTAGCAAGCAAAACAAACAGTTTATCAAAATGGATATAAATAGACTGTTAATCCATTAAATCTACTTTCTGTGTTACTTGATTTTCCTTGTTCCTCCAGGGAAATTCAAGTCTATTGTGTATGGTTGCATGAGAAACTATCTAGAGTGATGTTGTTGCAGGTGCCAATGAACCTGTTCATCATGTACATGGCAGGAAACTCAATATCCATTTTCCCTATAATGATGGTGGGGATGTTGATCATTAGACCAATTAAAGCCCTCTTCACTATGCAAACAAGTAAGTTTTAATCAACCAAAACTAAAGTGACTTAATGGGCAGAACTGTAATGGTCTGAATATGTAGGCCCTAATACCTTCAGTGGTTTATAACTACAGTACCTTACATTCCCACAAGCTTGGCGTAGTGTGGAACAGAAAGATGCAGAGTTCAAGAAATTCTGGGAAAAGGGGCAAAAAAAACTGAGACCTAATAAATTATACAGTATACACTTCCTTTTTTATTTCTCATACATAGGATACCGTAATAAATTACCATATTAGTATTGAAAGTCATAAATTAAACTTTTTGGAGAAGACTCAAATACAACATTCTAATCATAGACAATATCCTATCTGTCTCATTTTATCTTGGTTACATAACCACAAATTAAAACACAAATCTTAAAATAGCTTGTAAAAAATAACCTGACTTGTACTTCTTTCCATTTCCTCTTGAAGTACAACCCTCTGAGGTACTTTGGTATTATCCGAAGGCCACCCTTATATAGTGTGCTGGGGCAGTTATGTTAGGTTGGGTTATCACGAATACGTTTGTAGGACTTTCGTTGATTTGTTATGAATCGAACAATACCAGATAAGTCACACTTTCACCCGCTAAACCACCTCCAAATAGGCCAAGGTCAGGTCGTTGACCAGAGCGCACGCATCCCCTGTCACCCCCTTTATCTGGGTCAGTCCTTGACTCATCTCAATTCATAACGAAACTAGGAAAGTCCTACAAGCATACTAGTGATAACCCAACCTAACATAACCTCCGCAGTGCGCTGTATACCTACTTAGCGAAGTACATATGGCAGCTAGCGGCGGCAACACATTCAACTTAATCCTCGCCGACATCGCTGCCTTCTGGGAGGCTGGTAATCATAATCATGTCAAATTTGGACAGCAAGTCAATTTAAGTATGTTCTTTCCAATTATGTATTTTTTTTTACTACAATAAAAAATCCCTCTAAAATAAGTGGCCTCTAGATAATACTTAAGTTCCCTGTTGATTTGAATCCTTCTGCTATCACTTAATGATGTTAGGTATCTAAAAAAAAGTTGAAGTGAGATAGTAAAAAGACTTAGGTTTGGACATGCCAATGGGGTAACACTATATAAACTGTAGTAAAATAGTTATATTTTGGAAATTTGTGAAATAAATGGTATAAGCCTAACTCAATTTAATTTTTTTAAGCTTTCAAGATGATTGAAGGGAGTCATGCTGCCGGACAGAAGATTGTGTATTTCCTCGGCAATATTGTCAACATCGCACTGGCCTTGTACAAGTGTCAGTTCATGGGTCTGTTACCAACTCACACTTCTGATTGGCTCGCCTTTGTTGAGCCTCAGATAAGAATGGAGTACAGTGGTGGAGGCGCAGTCTTCACATAACCTTCAGCCTAAG